ACAGTAGAGTCTCATATTCTTTTAACTTTACAGACCACATCGATATGGCCAGGTTTCATCCCAAACTCTGCCCAGATGCAGCTCCTTCGGACAGGTCTCAGATCCTTTATATTCTGAGATTTGCCTACTTGAACATCAGGCAAATCCGAGCCACAAAGCTGCAACATCTATACACCTTGTTGTACGCTGCAGCAGTAATAACGCTCCGGACGGTTGCGTACCTCACACCCCTTCCTTACTCCTCTCGACTTCATTGAAGAAAGGCTCCAATTGTCCAATGATGGTGTTTATTGGCCGAGCCGAAGGACATGGTTGTGAAGGGGGAGAGAGTCATGTAGATCTAATGGAGTCAACTGAAGGAACAAAGGGCAACAGGATAGATCTTGAGGCCAAGACTGTTGCCACGTACAGCAACAGCTTGACCTCCAACACCGTCACCGATCATCAAAAAGAAATTAAAATCTTTTCAGCTACTGATGTAACATTAAATGGTCTGAATGAAAAGCAAATGGATAAAGTATGGGAATTTTCACGACGGACATTACTGGAATTCGATTCAATAACTTCCTCACATTCGAGGGAAATAAGAACGGGAAGGCACTACTCTTACAGATCGTTCGGACAAGCAGATAATAAATTCAGTGAGGTATGGAATATTTAAAATTAGTTCAATTTTAATCAAATATGACTCAAATTTTTATTCTTGAGGGAAAGATTAGTTGGAAAGGATTCGTGAATTTGCCTAGCTGAAAATCAATGAAAAATATACTTAGAATGGAGAAGTTTTCGGCGCACAGTCCTGCATCTACGCTGAATCCTTGCCGAATTTCCGTGTGTTATGAATGAGTAATCGCCACTGCGAGATATTATCAGTTAGGAAAAGTTGCACAAACTACCTTAACTGGCTTAGTGTACTTGGTGTGTTCTTTTGTATGTGATGTTTTCTCTCTTCAACAATTTCTGCCACATGGCAAGCGAAATCTCAGCTTTGATTTACCGGTGTCTCAGAACGATGGACTGAGGTCTTCTTGACAAAATACAACAGTACTCCTTCTTTAGTCCCCAATGAGGTCAATTCACGAGTCCATGCAGTTAAATATTTTTTTCTGGAGAAAGGTTTAAGTCACACTAATTATAAAGAGACTTTATGAAAGTAGATACGTATAGAAATTTGGTTTTGATGAATCTCCTGAGATAAAATTGTTGGGAGGACCTTCATTTTGTATGAAAGTGCATGAAGAAGAAATTCGTTGGTCGATCTTACCAGATGAGGACGGATGAATCTCGTTATACTGCAGCCTTTTTGATTTTATACGATATTCATGTTGACGCAGTCCACGGGACTTCCTCCCCCGTTTAGGGTGAAAACATGCTGAGCTTTGTTCCATCAATAATAAAGTCGAAAAACTTTACACCTAAGAGAAATCTTACTAACCATGTTTGTAACAAAGTGGGGAAGGATAAGGTAATCAATTTATCTAGTACAACTCTTGAGAATAGTGTATTACTTTTATTGGAAAGAGGACTGAACTTTGCTCTTCCAAATAAGGTAAACCATTCACTGTAAATACTTTTTGAATTAATTAGCTTGTCTGATAGATTGCCTGAGGAGGTAAGGAATAGTATTGAACTAGAGGTGATCCCTCATTTTGACCATATAATAACACCTAAGAAAGATTGTCATATTAGTAGAATTTCTAGATATCTGTGTAATAAGCATCTAATCATAACGAAAGCCGACAAATGTAGAGCAGTGGTAGTCATGGGTAAATAAAGTTATGTTGAAAAGATGCTAGTCCATTTAATCACATTGACACTTATAGACCTTTATAGAGACCCAACCGAAAGACTTAAGACTAGGCTAAAGGATGCCCTTAAGGT